AAGGCAAGACCGCAATATTCTCCGCAATAATAAAAAACCTATTTGTAGCAAAAGTCTGAAATTTTTGAGATAACTTCTGACGATGTTGATGATGGGTCATTCAGGCAGTTTTTAAGTGGTATATGAGACGAAAGATTGGTAACAACATACACTCAGCCTCTGTATAAACAGACCAATGTAAGTATGAAGGGATCATGTTTTCGGCGGTAATCAATCCCGTCTGAGGGATGCGTTCACGCATTCGACTTCCATTCAGGAGCGTAGTGGCGTATGGGATGCGTTTCAATGACTTGCGGTGGCCATCCGATGTACCAGTCAGTGAGTTTATCCTCCCAAACGAGTCTGATAACAATTAACCGACCCTAGAGGGATGGAATGTTCGGTTGGTCTAGGCCAATATCCATCCAGGATTGAGCCCGTGACCATACGTGTAAGATAGTGCGCTAATTACCACTACACCATTTACGCCTATATGAATATGAGTACTACGGTGAAAAAGCTCCAACTAAAAAAGCTCCAACTAATATTTTTTCTCCCAGGTAAACCGATGTACTCCTTAAACCACTGTATATATTCGCTTGTGTTGTACTTCAAAGAAGTGGGGATGCTGGAAAGTGTAGGTAGAGATTCTGGAATTGGCCGAGCGAATAAGGATGTCCCATGCCCATACAAGCCCTTTGCCCTGATCAGATATACCATTATGGATAAATATCGAGTGAAAAGTTGCAAGACTGTTCTGCTTGGACGCGATTCTAAGAAGCCAAGTCTGAAGTGAGGCTTGGCTGGCTATCGAAGCTTCTTGCTAAGCTTTTGTATATGAGTAATTTGACACCACGGGAAACACACATGGAAATTTAAATTTTGAATGTCGCTGAATCTTGCTGTTTAGGAAGTATTTCAGAATTCTTCCCTCACAGTGAGGTTCCAAGAGAAACGGCTAGCAGTCGATCGAGCAGGGTAGGTTCAAATTCACAGGCAGCCTGACAAGAAAAGGACTCTTCTCTTTTTTCACACAATGTTGCTACGTTGATAATAATTCCGAATTGTTTGGCAAGGACGCACGCACTATTAAGGTACATGCCCCCACCTTCGATTTGTGCGAAATACGGGCCCCTTTGTAGAAGATGGCTTCAAAGTTTCAAAATGACATTGAAATCAGATCATGTAGAGGCGAATGCAAAGGAAACAGTGCAGTTGTTGCAAGAGCTATTTTTAGACTAGCAGAGAATAACCGAAGGTCTCTACAGATTCGACAGTTGACATTCCACAGAAAACGCCTATTGGTCGCCTTTTTACAGAGCCATGTTTTGCGTCATACGGCGTACAAAGCTAGAAGCTATTAACTATCATACTCATCATTCAGGTTGCACTTCCCCCCNCTGCTCACTTCCATTTCCCTTCGATTCTATAAACGACAAATGCGCTTTCCAAAAGTGTGTTGCCTAGATGTCTTTGTTTATAAATTATATCTAAGAGGGCTGAACAACTACAGCTTAAGGTGAATATTGGAATCTAGGACGCCTATGAGTTCTGGGAACTCTTACCCGATCTGTGGACCGCTTGAAACCTGGCTTGCATACCAGTTAAAGGCATTTGGATCACAGAAAAGGTATCTAAATGCTTTCGGTCCAACGCAGTCACTTCATGGTCAACGGTTTAAGCCATTGAACTTCTTCAAAAAGGTTTTCGGAACACTTTGCCTGGTTGGTTTACCAAAATCAACTTATCTATTTATATTTTCACTGAAGTTCTCAAAATTATGTACCGATGTAGAAACGTACAAGCAGCTTGTGCCAATACTTGAAGCAATTCAATTATACCGTCTCCTAGGAATACAATTTTATAGGAGGCCTTGGGATACCCTTGCAGTTGGCGCAAACTATTGTCCTATCGGTAGCCCCACTTCGTCCTAACAAGACGTGCGACATGGGACTCTGACGGTTTCGTCGTACATCCAGAAAGATTATGGCTTCCTAAAAGGCCATTGCAATAAAAAGAAAAGGGTTGGGTAATTCCTGAGATATGGCTCATATAGTTATTGAGTCCCGTACTTAAGTAGACTATGTGGAACAAAATAATGACGGAAGTAAAAAAGACGAAACCATGAAGTAAAGTTGTAAGTTGCAGAGGTCAGTGTAGCACAGCTTAAGTGGCCTTTATGATATTCGACATTGAATAAAGCCACAAGGAACAGAAAGAGCCGAATGGATGGTCAACAGTGTTCGATGTGATGGGATGCGGGATGGATACGATACCATCTGTTAGAAGATCCAGGTATCCAAGCGTGAAATGCCGGCGACCATGCGAAACGTGCATTGAAAACGACGGCCACCGAAGCCCACCAAAACTGGTTTCTTCAAATGAACGAACAGAAGGACAGCAGCGAAATCCATAAACTTTGCGATGGATCAGTTCTATCATCAGAGAATGGCGTACAGAGATGTTCCATCTCATTGGGACACGGTGCGGCTTTCCTAGCAAAGTCCATACACACCGGTTTTCTTCACATGAAACTTTGCGTGCATACAATTACTCGGTCCACCGTGCAAAGAAGCCTGCGGAATATAAGAAGCTTTTATGTCGCATCGTTTCTGATTGATTTAGAAGGATTACCAGTCGTCTGGGACTTCAAGACACTGATTTGTCCATCTATCGGTTTCCTTAAGTGAATGTACAAGTCAAATTTACTCTCAAGTACAACGCGGGGCCAGGTAAAGGTTAAAGGATAAAGTCTTGAGCGTTAATCAATCTCGTCCGAGAGATGCGCCCCCGCATTCGCCTTCCACCCAGAATGGTAATGGCGGATTGAATCGTATGTGGCCTATACAGTGACTTGGCCGATGTACAAGTCAGTGCCTTTATCTTCCCCGACAAGCCTGGTACCGATTGACCGACCCTGTAGAGATGAAAAGCTTGGTTGGCCTAAGCGGATATCTATCCGGGATTCGCACTAGTGGGTATACGTGGGTGAAGTGCGCCACTTGCCACTACACTACCTCCGTCCTCGAATAACATCATCGATACTAAATGGAAGTCGATATGTGTAGTGCATTCGAAAACTGAGTAGCTGAAAGCGATCACATAGAAAGCTATGCTAGAAGTCTCTCAATATACGTAAGTGTAAGATATGAATAGTACTGGGCCCCTCTTGTGACCTTGACGATCCACACGATTTTGGATTACCATCTGACCAAAACAAGTACAGATCACATTCATTGAATCGTAAGTGCCCATCTAGACGACTCCAGAGTCCAAATTTATTGATGCTGACTGCAAAAAAAGGTACATCACTTCGAAAAGCTCTTAAAAAAGAATTCAGTGAGCAATTAGCTTATCTAGGCAGTGCCAGCGGCCGCTCAGTGATCAATTCCGGAAAGAATAGGACTACAGGTGATAGGCAGAAGTGTACCACTACAACAGGGGCGTCGTATTTGGCCTGTGTTATCCTTGAGAATGATACCAAGTAGTTAAAGGCAGAGTTTACGATAAAAATGGTGTCCGAGATCCCTACAGGGACGAATATGTGGCTTACAAGGATATCACGAAAAGCGGGTCTAAAATTGGCATAAATAGGGTGTAGTAGGGGTCCCAAAACCGACTTAGCCGACGTACACACCCAAGGCGGACGAGTTGTAAAAGCTGTTGAGGTTGTACCATTCGCACCGGGACCCACATCTTGTACGCAGGCAGCTCATTGCGACCAGCTGTATGCAATCCATTCTATGCAACTTTTTTCTTTACATTCTCGTGAAACCCCAAACCTTACTACTTTCTTGAGACCTTATGTTTCTCTAAAAAGTATAATTTTGCGATTTCTTCGTCACTTTTACACTACTCTAAATTACCACTTCTTTTTTTATTATTATTCGTCTCAATCTAAATACCATAAATATGTCGTGTAATGTGCCTCTAAATCACTGGTTCCGTCGACTGGCAAAAATATGGTCAGGAGTACGGACCGGTGGCTCCCATACCTTTGACCTCCGCAAAAAGCGAATGTTCACACATTCAATTGCTCCTACGATTCTGATCAGATGTCAAATGCCGGGCGCGTTATACAGAGGTGCCCAGTAATAACCTTTTCACTCTTTGAGTTTGTAGAACTTATATCTGTTCCAATTTAGCGGTTGAGCATCAAAAAATGATTTCGATTTCAATCAGTTCGATAATTTCAATCAGTAGGCAGTGAAAACAAGCGGAACCACGAAGCCTATGTGTGGTTCTAAACCAATGCAGTTCATTTGTGTGTCCAAGTTGCAGCTATACTGTCTGAAGTAGCGGCTAGAGCGGTGTGTCGTGTACACAGAACTGCTGGTTCAATTATTTCCCGAAGTAACTCATACCCATCTTCGCTTATCGTTCCAATGAGCACATGAGATTAACGTAGGGAGCACAAAATACCGGTGATTTTGTTGAAAACCATTCCATTATGTAGCTCAACATACCTCATAAGCATTTTTGCGTAATTTGAAGTGCGTGGCGTACTCAGAGAAGCTTCATGAAAGTCCACACATTCTTTCTACTATCAGCATTATGATTACTCTAGACTAACCGCCACGAACAAATTTGTGCAAATGTTCTTAGTATGATAGTCTGTCAACATTCGCTAATGATCAGTTTGCCTTTTGTGAATTTCCGTTAACATTTTCAATGAAAAAAACAGTCATATGAAAGTAGTCGTAGGATCAGTCTATCGGGCGAATTGTCGCACGTTAATAAGCACTTGTAGGCCCGCTGAATGTACGGGGCAATATGGACGTCGGTGACAGCCATCGCTGCTCCCCCAAGTTGCACGGCTAGTGACGATCACTGTCTTAGGAAGTGCCGTCTTAAAATCAATGATTAACATTAGGACGCTGAAGCCATGCACACTACAATGCGGTTTGGGAGGTTTACTCGATTACTAGGTATGGGGTGCATGTAAGTACTGTCTCGTTTAGTAAGTGCCCAGTGCAAAGTAGAAAATCCCAAGGATGTGATAGGACCTTGTTAGGGAAGCTACGTGTGCTGCGCGATGACCCTCGGAAATCTGTATTGGATCTTAGGGTTCTAATTTCCAACTTGTCCCAGTAACCCCTACCCTATGTCACAAAGATGATGGTGATTACCTAGGTTTCTCCGAGGATGCTAATACAAACCGGAGTCCCTAGCCTACATACAGCTGCGTCGTTAACGAAATAAGATAAATCAGAAGCTTTTGAACAGCCTCTTCGAGGTTTTCCAAGTATGCTACTTTTGCTTTAGTCGGTTGGACGGTTGAACGCTCACTTAATCTATAAAATGATCGACAAAGGTTAGCCAGTGTGCAGCCGATACTCTGATAAACCTATACAAGTTCAGAAGCGATTCAACTGCTGTCGTAAAATCTGTTAACTTGACTGAATGGAACATGCTCGGACTCATGAAAACTTGGTAGCACTTTTAGCCATTCAGTCATCAACTTCACAGATGTGCTTTTATCACAGAAGTGATCCTAAAGTAATATAATCACGGAACCATAAATATTATATGATTTACTTTCTCTTATGATACGGCTGGGTGGCGGTACCTCTCTCCGAGCCCCCACGGCTAGCGGCAGGAATTCTGCGACGACTACCATATCCTTTCACGAAAATGCCAAACCTTTCCATTCAAAGCGTGTGATGGTGTGCAGCGAGCGCGACGCGATTTTCGGAAAGAAGTTACCGCACCCAGTCAACAATATTTTTTACGAATATCAGATAAAGTAGAAATTGGTCGATAAACTTCACAACGGCATATAAATCATTTATCTGCCTCACATTTAAATCTTTTTTCCAAACTTGAATTGCTCTTTTTCCGTTTCATGGATTCGAAAAGAACATCTCAATGAGTCTTACACCCGTTAATAACAACATAACAGTAAACATCGTAACAATGAAGAAATAACCAAAGCTTAAGACGAATCCATGACAGTGCGAACCATTTTCTCATCACAATATCTCATCAAACGACTGGGAAATTGTGAAACTGGCGAAAAGGTATCGAAAAATTTTGTAATTGTAGTTCTGTTTTCAAATATGTTATACCTTGAGCTTAGAACCATTGACTACGCTCCACAAATCGCAGAGTTACTGTTTCCATCATTGAATTTTACGTGAAACACACCGTAATGATGATTGATGGCAGGTTCAAGGTGAAGCTGCCATTTACCTGAAAATCGATCAAAACCGTTGCTTGAAGTAGATCACTTCGTCTTTCAAATTTTCTGCACCTATCGAAAGTAACTGGTTATAGACACAAGTCAACAATTACCTGGTGCGAGTACTCCGTTCTTCGTATTTCTGCAGTAGAAAACTCGGGATGCCCGACAATGGACCAAAGCCTGGAATAGGTAATCCTTCCCTTCACAGCTCGCGATCTGATGCGAAGGTACTCCAGGGAAAGGAACCCATAGCTACACGACTGCTTTCTAGCTAGTTGCCGTTAGCATCTTTCAAAGTAAAGCGCTGAGCATGAGCGTGAAGCGTTGAGCATTACCGACGCTTTGCTGACAAGACCGATCGTCGAACGATACTGAACAAGTTTGCGGTGAATACTTTCTCGACCAACTTTATTGGTTTTGTTATTCACTTTTCCCTTTATTTTGGAACCGACACATTTTTCTCCGTTGACTGCTTTAGTATAGTGTAATGAAAGTATATTATTATAATAGAATTCTACGCAGCCCTGCTTCGAAAATTACAAACTCCAACGCAAACACCGTCAGCGGCGTACGCGGCTTCGAGCTTCACGCTCAACGCTAGTAGCCGTACTCTGCAAGCGCCCATTACAACCAGTGAACATGGTGTTCAATTTGTGAACGGGCAAGTGACCATGGGGCTTCGTAACTAACTATAACTCTAATTTAAAAATAAAAATGAACCACAATTACAAAACGTTACCATAGCACACATTGCACATGGCTCATTCTTCAAGTATACATCGCAACCAGTTGCAAGGTAATCATCATTGCTTCTAGGACACTTCGCTAGTTTTTGCACGATGTTGATGACAGGGTGACCCAGAAGTTGTTCTGTTCGTGAGCCTCTGACCAACTCATGACCATTCTAAAATTTGTAACATTTGTGATTTCACTCAAGCACAGGAACATGCACTTATTGGCTTCCTTTATCAAAAAAAATCCTCGGTACTCTATCGCTGGGAAACTACTGGGGGTTTGACTTACGCACAAAAATGAAGTTTAAACGAAATCGGAAGCCGAATATATATGCTTTCCGTATGAAATGTGCTACCCAGAATGACGAAAACCTCGATAATTCATTGACGATTTAGCAGAAAAATGAGGTAAAGACAAAACATATCCAATATTCGCACCTGCACGACGACACATCCCACTTCACTGGCAATCTCGCTCCAACGATATACTGATATCTTCTCTTCACTGGTCAGAAAATTATCGTTCAGCAAGTTTTCGAGGTCCTGAAATATGTGAAGTGCTTTAGAAACCCCGCATCAAGAACGCCACAGCGAAAAGGCAACATCAGACTTTTTTTGCCATGAAAAAAACCTTGATCTTCAAGTATACGTATGGATTTGTTTATTTCACCATAGGTTAATTCGTTTACATAGCATTTTATTGAAAATAATAATTCTGCTAGAGTCAGCCGTATTTTGGCCATTTAGATTCAGGCAGGTAATAGCGAAAGTCGTTGAATTCGGACCTGGTCTGGATGAAAGCTCGTCGGCCAGTACTCCTTTGCCCATTCGAACTGACGCCTTGTAAATGGTTTTGATGCTGGGACTTTCACAACCTGAATGACATGCCTTAGCTCCTCAAACAACATTACATCGTAGGTGATGCTATATGCACTTGTTATTTAAAATGGGTTGACTCACCTGCACATTGGATTCACTGAGTTCGAGCTCTTGTAATATCATGAGATGCTTGTCTGACAGCGAATCTGTGACGGGTTGTAGTAGCACTCGACCCATTTTATCGACTCGTTTCAGATGATCAAATCCTTCACATACCAACGGAACCTTTTTTAGAAATGGGCTGATTTTCTGCTTGTCCATAAACTGTACCACGTAAAACTCTGCCAATGGTACCGTTTCGCCACAGACTCTATCGCTCAGAATCGGAACTACCCTGAAACCAGTAGGTTTTATAAAGTCTACCATTTCATAAACTGAAAGGCTTCTATTTAGAATCTATACTCCTACCCATAACTTCATGAAGGTGAGAATTACCAAAATCTTCTATTTGTCATACTTTAATTTTTTGCTACTCAATATATCATCAAAGTAATCGAGTTACTACTCACCTCCTTCCCACCGATATTTCCGTCTTGGCATGTTTCGCCGGTGGCTCACCATTTTCAGCCTCAAGTGGGAGCTGAGCATGTTTCATCGCTCAGCTACATAAAAGATCCGTTTGTCACGCACCCATATCTGAAATGTTTTTTAGATTACCAATTAGCCGTCATATGCGTACCGTGACCTATTTCTGGCGAAAGATTCACTCTTGGTACATAAGCAGTGTCGGCGGATGTTGGATTTTCTGGAGTTCGAGGGACAACTGTGACAGTAAAAATGGAGGGGCGGGCAGGGAATGACAGACTAAATGACTAACAGACTTTTTACCTTACTCTGACAATAAGTTTGGAAAAAGAAAGCATCCGATATTGCGCAGTATCTTACGAAACTAAAAACCGTTCTCGGTGTAATCAAAAACAACATCCAAACAGTTGAAAGCGCTCTTTTTTGCCATAAAATACCCTCTTCGGTCCTCCCGTCAGGACTTTTGTGGAAATCATTCCTAGCGCTCAAAGCTCCCCCATAATGATTAGTCAAGCTCAAACCCACTGCTAACATCCGGAAACAAACGAATAGACAACTTGCCGAGGGCTTTCAGCTTTTTTGGGGAAGCAGTTGACAAAAATCGATAATCGAGAATAGAGCCGTTCTCCAATGATTGAAAGCATGTTTTTTGAACCGACAGCCGCAAGGTGGAAAACCAATAAACGTCCCCCGCACCTGCACTATCCGAGTTGATTTCCAACGACTCATGAATCTTTACATACATCCTTTTGAAATAAGTTGACTCTTTCCTACGATTCTGTACTATTCAATCAATCGATTCTCTTACCTAGAAGCCCCAATTTCATCTTCAATTTGTTTTAGTGAGACTAGCATCAACAGTAAACAAAGGCGAGAAAGGCACCCGAAATCAAAATGTTTTCTTGAAATCGTGGGGCTTAACACTAGTCCCATCCAAATTCTCATTTGTCGTTCGTACGCAATTTTTCAGGTGCGGTTGGATGTAAAAATCAAAAGTCATGGGTTTTTTTTTTTTTAGATTACCCACTCTTGAAATGTGAATATCAATTGTACAGTAGAAAACTTGATCCATTTTCCATACTCCCGCATTTGACAACTGATCCTAGAATACAGGAAACATGAGAAGATAGGAAATAAGTTGTTCCCACACCGAAAATCCTCCCCATACGATAGCAAAACCAGCTTTCTGTAGCTAGTTCACTTCTTCTGACGAAGCTACGGGCGCCCACACTTCTGACGAAGCTACAGGCGCCCACACCGAGGTAGGCGTACATGGTATGGGGGGGGGGGGTGTGAAAATGAGCCTCCACGTCTCTTATCGCTTTTACCGATGTCGGATGTGACATAAGGCATAAATTACAACGAAGAAGTACAGCCCTAATACCCCACGCATCAATACTATTTACCTACTTGCATCCCATCCAACAAAAATACAGCTAAATGTTCGAAAATCGAACTTTTGGCATGGTGCCAATAGACTGCATTTTCTGCACAGGACCGACCCGTTTGTTGGCTGAGTATCGCGCAGTGGATGCGCTTCAACGGGGCGCGGCCATGATTTCGCTGCTTGCGAGTGGCATGCGTCGGTGACGTCACGCGTCCTTTTGTCGCTCGCGTTGACTTCCCGGCTGCACCGTGGCATGTTGTCGGGTTTTGTCAGTTGTTTGTACTGCCTTTCGAAAGTTTAGTCTGGGAGCGGCTGTTCCTTTCACAGTGTGCCTTATCATGGTAGTATATCGTTGATTACACAGCATTTTGTGGTAGAATTTGTCGTTGGTTGGCAACTTCCGGTTGCAGTGTCCGGTGTTTTAAAGCAGACAGTTTTCTTTTGTCGTCTACACTCTTTCGCATTGCATGTATTTGAGTCATCAATTTTTTTCCTCTTCGCTTGCGGTGATCTATGACGCATTACATTTTGTCGGCATGTTTCTCGAAACCCACGCAAATCTCAGAGTACCATTTCCAGTGCTACGTTATAATGCATTTGTCCCAATTCCGCATGAACAAAAGGCCTGATGAGTATCTTGTTCCATGGTTTATAGCAAATAGATAGCAAAATTTGATGTGTGCTTCATGAAAATTTCTGCCGAGGTGACTCATCTGCTGCCAGCCTCATCTTGTTAAATACCTAGCGGTCGTGGTAGTAATAACTTGCCAGACTGCGAATTTTTTTAACCTTGAAAATCGCCTCATTTATTCATTGTTAATCTAAGCGCCTATGCACATTGGGATAGCTATTCTAGGAATTGCGAATAATGAAACATCAAGCAGCACAGATTACTGCTCGCTGTCCGCTTCAATTCACCTTCGTCTATACTCTTAAGCTTTGAGTTATTTCGACTATTAACTCCGTGCGTGTGAACATTTTATGATGTCTTTTCTTTCTACAAATCGTGTACGCGCGGTTTCCCTTTTTTGCTTATAGGGTCATGTTCCGCCCACTCGAAGTGAGACAGCGCAATTTATATCATCATTTTGGGTCTCAAACCCGCTCCTCACTTCGTATTACGTTGCTATGACTCGCTGTTTGGGATAGTCGTTAAGAATTGTTGTTTTCTCCATCGTTAGAGTTAGCAGAATCTACAAGTCTTATTTCATTACATGCTTGACTGGATTCAAGCTTTTCATAACCATCGTGGTCTATTCATTCGTGCATTCTATTCAACTGAACCAACACGAGTACCGTTTTCAGACGACCCAGAGTTCACCATGGGTGACCAGAATGGTCGTCTGGACTCACCTCTGAGTAGCCATGAGTTCGACAAATCTGTAAGTCCACCAAGTCTTGACCGAAGCCGTGAAAGCGATGCCTTCAGGTGGGATATTGAGCACATTAATGCATTTATGACGATATTTGTGTTATTTGAGAGGTGGCATTTCATCAGACATTGCTATTTCACTGTTTAGATCAAATACTTCAAGTCCATTGCTGAATACAGAGCCTCTTCCACTTGATGATCAATCTCATTGCCCATATTGTCATAAGGACTTCAGAAAGGTAGGCGAAACTTAATGCATCAGAGTTGTATCTTACTTAACTACCCTTATTTTCAGCCACGTGTCCTAGATTGTCTGCATTCAATGTGTGAAGACTGCATAATAGCACAGTTGGATGGTCGGCGAGATGCACAAAAAGCAAATGATCAATCCACTCGCAATCCTACGGATTGTGAGCTGGAAACACCGAAACGTTGGTATACTTCTGTTTTGGTATATCAGCATGTATGAATTAGGTAATCGGATACGGATCAGTAATCTTCTTGCTTCTTTTAGTTAAGGAGCGTCCAACTCCTCCTGGCGTTATCCGCTGTCCGATATGTGCACAAGAATCTCATGTCGGAAACGATGTGCGCTATGTACATACAATGCTCCTTGATTATGTAAGTGAACATATGGGAATGATTGAGCTTTCTCCGAGTCAAAGACTTATTTTCCATCTTCCATTTTACTCAGTACTCCTGGTTATAATGACGTTGAGGAGCTTTTTGAAAAAGGCGTCCAGGAATTGAATTAAATGAGCCAGTACGGCTTTTTTGTACTGCTTTCTATGACTTTTCTCGTGGAATCTGTATGACGAAGAACCAGTGGTGAGCTCAGGCGTTGTATTTTAGGTTCGTCTTGCGGAAAATGAGGAAGCTGTAGGAGAACGACGTTGTCGAGCTTGTAAATCTGAGCAGCCTGCGATTGCTGTTTGTAAGCAGTGCCAGTCGGATCTCTGTTCAAATTGCCTTTCTGCTCATAGCGTAATGAGAATGTTTGAAGGGCATGAGGTTTGTTTTTTGTATAAGTACGTTTATTTAACAAATTTTGAGTGGAGTGCTGCTGTCCCTAAATTTAGGTCATGACGTATGCTGAAATGGAACAGCGTGGTCAGCGTGGTGATGTGCGTCCAGTGCAGTGCCCAACACACTCACTTCCTTATAAAATGCTCTGCGCTACTTGCGAGACACTTTGCTGTAAAGTTTGTCTTGAAATGGAGCATCTCAATCACAAGGTATATCAGATTCTTGAAAATATCACATAGGTTCCCCAGTATTTTCCTCATCTATGGCGAAGCATATTTTCCAAGTAGTCCGGTATTCGCCTTTACATCAAATAAAGTCAAGAGTTCCGTTTCTTCCTTGCAAGCAGAGAACGATAGATCCTCTTCTCGGGTTTTCTCAGGAAGTTCAAAACCCCCAAAAATACCTATAAGTTCAGAGAACTTCTTTAGGAGCTACTCTCGATCAACAGGCTGCACGCATACAGTGGGAGTTCCCATTTCCGTATCGGAAAAGACCAGCTTTATTGGCTTTATACTATACCTTAGGATATACTTGGAGTTAATGCCGTCTAGAGTGGTTCATTCGCTCGTTATGCTCTAGGCGTACAATTTTACATAATCTCCTCTCAGCCCGAGAACTGCTCACAAATTGTTCAAATTCAGATTAGGACTAAATTGGGAATTTTTTTAAAAACATACAAGTGCTTGAGTAAATTCAGGTCGTCGAAGTGAATGCAAGAGTTGTCTTTACAATACAGTCGGAAATTGAAAAACTGGCAGATAAAGTTGAGAAAAAGGTGCGTGACGATTCCTAATTTCCTTTTTTGATGGAATAACTCAACATTGCTTTTTAGTGGCGCGATTCTATGGCTGAATGGAGCGCTATTCCGGACAGGTCAGCAAGCCTTCACGAACAGTATGAAGCGGCCAAAGTCCATGTGGAAATGGCCTTTGACGATCTTTTGAAAGCGCTTGAGGAGGCGAAAACTAACAAGGTTTGTTTTTTGAGATGGTCTTGTGTATGTTGTCACTTTTATCACTAGTGACTCGAAAGTGAGTAAGATTTCTTGGTCTCACTCTCTCTACCTTTTGTAAAATGGTACTGAATTGTTCCTAAGTTATTTCAGCTTGCTCAGTTAGAAGAAACTCGTCAGAAGCAGGAGGTAGCAATTGAAGACCTCTACAGGAAGATGAATCTAAATGAAGCAAGAGTGAGCGATGCGCTCAGGTAAGACTTCCATTAAACTCAGCTCTCACAGTGAGATTCTGGCAGCATTGCATTACCTGAAGCATAATTCTCTGTTGGGAAGTATCTGAACAAAGCAAGTGTGGGTTTCCTTGGTTTAATGCATTTTTAATCAGTTATTAAGCCGAAGTAGCAGGCTTTTCTTTGTCGTCGTAGGTTCTAAACGACGTACTTGTTTGCCAAGTAAGAATTTTGTTAGGTAGTTGACATCCTGGGCGGAGTTGGTGTGTTGGCAAGTGGCGCACTATATCACTCGCTTAGTANAATTGGTACCAGACACGTCTGGGAAGATAAAAGCACTGACTTGTACATCGGCTGGCCACCGCAAGTCATTGTATAGGCCACATACGCACTCATTACGCCACTACGATTCTGAATGGAAGTCGAGTGCGGGGGCGCATCCCTCAGACGGGATTAATTAACGCCAAAAACCTCATCCTTATTATCCTTAGTTGACATTCTGTCCATATTATTTGTTCAGATTCGCTCGCAACTTACTCTCGAAATCGAATGGGATGGAATTGTTGGCTAGCCGTCGCAAAGTTGTGCAACAGCTCAACAACCTGGCCCATACTATGCCAGCATTAGGAATTCAGGTAAGGTTGGAGCTCCATCCAGTCTTAGCGTTTCTTTGATTATTTGTTTAGGTGGAGCTAGAATATCAGCCTTTATCGAAAAAGCAGTTAGACACCCACATGAATGCCATTTGTGGAAATGTAATTGGTGAGTCATGGCTTTACAGGAAACTTCTAGGTAATTCAGATGCACTAAATAGATTGAGGTTTTCTGCCTCGGGGTATTTGCTCTAGTGCTGTTGACATAACACCACGCGCTGAGGTCAATTCGGTGATCAGAACTATTTTAAGGTCGAATGGTGTCTGCCAACGTCAAGGAGACAATAAATGTGCAACAATCGCCCACCCAACAAGTACAACCTCCACAACCAGACTATCCAACAACCAGAATCGCTGCTACGGCATTGCCTGGTGCACCAGATTGGAATCGTTCGTTGAGCAATGGCCATGGGTCAACTGGTGACTTGGGAGCTATTGGAATTGAAAGAAAAAAATCAAAGTATAACATTTGACTCAAACTTTCATATACCCTGCAAAGAATAATGTTTTAGTATCTCATCTGCATGGAGCAATAGCATTGGACCCTCTCGCGTGACCGGGCCAGGGGGTGATGCATTTGGCTGGCCACCCAGCAGTCACCCTCCAGATTTGCCATCGCCTTCCCCTCCGATACCGTTGAAGGATGTTGCTCCGCCCAGTTTCACAATCGGTGGACCTGGAGTTATTGGTCAACCCACAAACACCAATTCTTCAGTCACTGCATCTGGAGGAAATGTAAGTTGAAATTTCGTTTCACAAATCAAAAAAAAAGGAATCAGATTTTCTGAATTCAGCGTTTTTTTTTNAATGGTTTCCGAGATTTATTAGAGCGAATATATGGCTGCTTAGGATGCCACATGAGGTATAGTCGGTCATAAACGGCGCATTTATGACCTAAGGGCCGGAGGGCACAATACTAGAAATGGACGTAGGTAACAGCTTATAGAGCTGCTTCAAAGGTGCATGCGCACTTTCACAACGTCATACATTTGTTGAAGAGATAATCAGCTGATTGTCCGGGGCACGTGACTCAATGGTTTTCTTCCATGATGCACTTTCGAAGTATGGGTAGAAAAAAAAACAGAGAATTACAAGGAGAGGTATTGCAGCCAATTTTTTTTACGCCTTTGTACGGTTTGGGAGCAGGGGAGAAGGATCGAATATCCAATCAATACTCGCCCAGACAAGGTCGCTCAATCAGTACCAAACTTTGGGAGGGTAGAAGCACTCACTGTCCAATAGCTGACCACCTATCCTTGGTTTTGTGAAGAATGACACTTGATTAAGGCCGCAAAATTTGTGTTCCACTCAAACAAAACAGATGACTCAATAATTTTAACAGAACTTTTTCGCTGATTTATGAAAGCGCTGAACTTTTTTTTTTGTCAGAATAGATGGAAAACTACGGCCATTCATCCTTCTGTAGAGGTTTTCGGTTAGCTCTTCGGAGAGGTACCATGCTCCAGCAGTAGCTTCTCGAAATGAACGGCTCAGATACCTAGAGTAGCGAAACCTACAACGTTCTACATCGGGTTATGGTCTGGGCTATTTGCCAGCCAATGTAGAAGAGGTACCTTGGCGGCTGAAAAAGTCCGGATGCTTCGGCGAACTCGACTGGATGCATCATCTTGTGGGAATGCAAGCTGTCGCCAAAGGGCAGAATATGACGAAATGGATATGACATTTTTTTGGTTAGGCGGATTATCTTCTTCATGAAACGGTTTTAGGCTGCCCAATCCATAAGAACTCCCCTTTTGTAAACGTGCTATGAATATCAAAGCCCCGGAGTGACGTTAATATGCGAATTCCTTCTATATTTCACCTATTCTCTCATCAAAGAGTTTTTTGAGAATAGCTTTCTGTGCGCATTTTCACGAAATTTGTAGGTGGAAAAACAGCATGGGATTGGATGTATTTATCAGGTATGATAATTTGCTCGCTTCCCTCCTCTCTGAAGCTTTACTGCAACTCTTCGGTCCTTGAATTCGGAAACACTACTTTAAGTCGTCGCGAACTGGGACGGGAAGAATACACAAAGGTGTCAAATAGTTCCTGTATCACGTTCCATGCTAGCTGGTGACAAATAAAGATATCTAACCAAAATTCAAACCTTTTAAGCTTTACTGCTTCAGGTAATTAGTATATCGACTGTAAACTGATCTACAATTATTTTCAGCCATTATTGACTGGAGCATCAAACACGGCATCGATGATTTACAATAACTACCAGTGGCCGCCATCATCGAATCCAGCACAGGCAGCCGATCTTCGTTTGTTTCCGCCTATGTCACATCCGTCGTCGGTTGTTGGAGCGAATCAGCTGAAACTCGCACAAGCACAGGCAGCACAGGTGGGACTGGGGCTCTTTGGATATGACGATAATTTCAGATCTTGTTTTAAATTCCATTTTCTTCAGCTCCAAGCAGCACTCCTTCTACAGAATAATGGGCTCGCAAATCCCAATCTTCTGATGGTTAGTGTTCTTACACCCTTCCTTTTGTTTAGTGAGTTTTGTACCTTGTTTATGGTGGTTGCAGCAGGCACGACTTCGTTCACTGGGACCTGGAGTGGATCCACTCTTGGCACTTGGAGGTCTATCACTTGCTGGTGGTCCAGGAGATGGCAGTGCACTCTTAGGTAGTGGAGCTCAGAGAAGTTCTCCACAGGAACTTCTGAATTCAGCTCGTGTGCCAGAGTTGAAGATTCACAGGTATCGTTAAGTTTGTTTTCTAATGTGTTTGCCTCCCAAGCAAGCTGTATGAGTTTTCGAATCCTTGCCTTTCTCTTTTTTTCACTAATTGTGTTGCAGTGTGTTCGGAACAAGTCAGCAAGGTAGCTCTATGCGTGAACTGCACTGTCCCTCTGGGTTCTGCTTGTCAGAGAGTGATGACATACTAATTGCTGATACAAACAATCACCGTATTGTCGTGTGTGGGCCTCCCCATCCATGGAAAATTGGAAGACCTGGAACGGTATGTACTTCATTTAGTTCTTTGTTGTCGAGCAGTAAGAAATACATCTTTTTCCTAGGATGACGGGCAGCTGTGTTTCCCACGCAAAGTAATTGCTTTGAAAGGCGAAGTCACAAGGTATGCTGTACTCGACAAAGGTGTGGATGGCAAGACACGTGCCCAACTCTTTGATCAACGTGGTGAATTCATCAAGCGCATCAATATGGGTAACTAATTAAAATTTCGAAATTCGGCGCTTCCGTGTCTGAATATTATGTCATATGATTATATGGGAAAGTTGATTATTTTTCAAGTGCCCTTGGTACCTCGCGGAGGAATCGAGGTATCTGCGGCTTCATGCACGTCTTCTGGGCACCTTCTTCTAGTTGACACAAGTGGAGTGGTTTATTGCATTGGTGAGTCCAGACCTACGGCTAACTAATTAGTTGCAGCGGACAAATGCGTATTTTTTTCAGACGTGGATGTACCTAGAGTTGTATTCTGGTTCGATGCGTCATCTCATCTTGGCGAAGCAAGTGACGTCGCTATTTACGAGAAGAACGTTTATATAACTGATTTCAAACATCACTGCGTACAGGTTTTCAATACTGATGGTAAGAGATTATGAAAAATGGGTGTAGCTTTAAAGGAAAACATATATACTTTTTTGTCGTTCAGGGCAATTCATTCGTAAACTGGGTGAACCATCACAGACCCCATACCCAATTGGCATTGACGTGTCAAAGAATGGTGATGTTCTGGTCGCGGACACACATGGAAACCATCTTCATGTGGTGGTTTTCACTGCGGATGGCACGCTTCAACAATCCTTCACGCACAATGAGTTTAGGGTAAGCAGTTTTCTTGCATAGGAATTAGGCTCATGATCCTCTATGGAGGAGCTGGTATACAGGGTGACCCCTTTATGAAGTGTGACGGGCAATAAAAAATCAATTTCTGGGCTTCTCGTTTTCTTCTTTCGCTATGTTATGGAGTTATTTGATTTTCCCGCATATTTTGAACCTAATGAGGGCAGTCTTCTTTGCTATTCATTTGTAAAAATGGTTTCGCTTGACGATCGTTCAGCAGTAGTCGCGATGTACAAACGCGGAGCATCAGTATCCGAGATTTCCAAGATGCTCAAACTCCATCGAAAGCACGTACATCGCGTCATTAAGCGATTCGAAGAGACTGAAAAGATTGA